GGTATGTCTTTGCTGGTATATGAGGTTTTGTCAGTGCAAATATATTTATCAGAGAATGCTCTTCATCATCTTTATTATCAGTATAATTACATCAGCAGAAGTGTCTGCAGAGGTTTAAGCATTTAGTGTAAGCTTAGCTGTCGCAGTTTAACCCCAGCTAGTAACTAAACACCACACAGCCACTCACTCACTCCCCCCACAGTGGGATAGGGGAGAGAATCGGAAGGGTAAAAGTGAGAAAACTCGTGGGTTGAGATAAAGACAGTCATAGGTAAAGCAAAAGCCGCACACACAAGCAAAGCAAAACAAGGAATTCATTCACCACTTCCCATCGGCAGGCAGGTGTCCAGCCATCTCCAGGAAAGCAGGGCTCCATCACGCATAACGGTTACTTGGGAAGACAAACGCCATCACTCTGAACATCCCCCCTTCCTCCTTCTTCCCCCGGCTTTATATGCTGAGCATGACATCGTATGGTCTGGAATATCCCTTGGGTCAGTTGGGGTCAGCTGTCCCGGCTGTGTCCCCTCCCAACTTCTTGTGCCCCCCCAGCCCACTCACTGGTGGGGTGAGGTGAGAAGCAGAAAAGGCCTTGGCTCTGTGTAAGCACTGCTCAGCAACAGCTAAAACATCTCTGTGTTATCAACACTGTTTTCAGCACAAATCCAAAACATAGCACCATACCAGCTACTATGAAGAAATGAACTCTACCCCAGCCAAAACCAGCACATTACCTTATTTAGAAAAATAAGTGTCAAAAAGCTTACTATCAGATTATTATATGTTTATATATTCAAATCAAACACCACCATTTTTTTTAACCTGAGGTTCCTAAACTCTGACTTAAACCAAAACCTAGTTTAGAAGGCATCTGATCCCATCTGATACTTTGTTTGTGGGAGTCTGTTGATCTGACTAATTTTTTTGCATTTGTTTTATTCTGAAAAGCTTTTTTGTTAAGCTCTGCTGATGGCAATAATGGAACAGTTAACTGGACGACTAAGCAAGCCCACAGTTATATTATCAGCAGAATAAAGGCTGTTGAGAAGAATGGTGAGTTTAGGTTGTAAATTTAAATCCCATGTTGGTTCAGTCAAATCTGCTTTTAATATTACTCTTGCTTTTCCAGTCATGTCCTTGTTTTAGGAATAAGGTGCTATTTCAAGGTAAGTAATTTGGAAAATTTTACATTTCTTCAATCTTTTAAACATTCACAGACCTGCGTGTCTTTGTGAGTCTTCCCCAACTTTCCTGTTCCTATGGCTTTGCTTGAAATAATGGCTGTGTGTGTACCTAATATTGCACATTTTCTTATCATGGCTGGTTGCTTGGAGGTACCTTTGCAGTATGCTTAATACAATAACTTGTCTGTAACAATTAAAAAAAAAATTCATATACATATTGTAAAAAGACTATTTTACTGTCATTTATGCAAGTATACATAGACTATTTTAGCTAGTGTACACTACCTGAGAAAAGGCTTTGCACTGATTGCCCATCCAGGCAGGCAATCTGGATTGGCCCCCAAATCAAGTTATTTCTGGGGTTGTGCTTCATCTGCTAAAAATTTGTGGGGAGAGAACCCATTGAAATTCCCAGAAGAAATTTCCAGGTGTTTTTTTTTCTGAAGATCATCGACATACAGGCTTCAACCAACATGGTAAATCTTCTGAATTTTCTGGAGACGGGGGTCGTCTGTGTCTGTTAACGGGCTCTGGGCTGGGGGCTGATACAATCCTAGCTGAATTCCTGGCGGTGCCCATGTTTGAGACCCACAAGAACAACAACTGGGACAGTTTCTGTACATGTTTCAAAAAGTGGTGCATGTTTTCCAACCTTCAGTTTCCAGTTAATCTACTTCTTTGCCGATCTCCAGAACTTCTAACCTTTCTGTACAGATATATCTTGGGATCTACAGAAAGTCCTCCAAGGGATCTGGAAACAAGAAAGAAGACAACAGTGCTGTTGAGGTAGCTGATACTGTCTGTTTTTCTAGTAGGGATCTGTTGTGATCCTATGTAGTGAAGATTTTTAATTTCCCGTGGTTAGTTTTACAGAAGCCTTTCCCAGTCCCCGAGATTTTATTTACCACAGGGAATTTACCCAGGCAATTCACATCTGGCAGTATGCTGTATTAGATTAGTATCTAGAAGTTGGTAAGTATATTCAGTTTCATCCCTAGATAACCTAAGATGATTACACATTCATCTCCAGTCTCAGGAAGTCTTATGAAAATACTTGTGCATTTTAAAAGCTTCTGAAGAAAATAGCGTTTCACTTGTTTCATTGTTGAAAAGCAGCTATTACTGTAGTGGGCTGAAGACTCACCATTTTCCTCCTGATTTTGAAGGAACTTGACAGGGGAAAAAGAAGAGAGCTTCTCTGACAAGGGGGGTGAGAACTTTCAAATTCTTAATCTCCGTACTTGTGTCATTACAATGTGTTTGTCATTATAAGATAAAATAAATTTGTGGGATTTTTCCTTCTGAGAGGCATTTTTAGACTTCCACCAAGATCACTGTTTTATATATGCATGAAATCCTTATTGGTATGCTTACTTTAGCAACCGAGAACGTCTCATTACTAAGAATGGGCAGGCATTTAGTGGTGGCAATAGATTTCCTCTAACAGGCAAAAGAAATATGTTACATAGTTTTTTTCAATAACTGCTGATTCTATTATGCTTCTTCCTTTCTAAAACTATTGCTTATGGAGAAAATATACATTACTTTTTCACTGCTCTTCCTGTTTGATATGGATTTTCATTGTAGAGTCAAAGCATCAGAGATGGAAAAATGGATTTTTTCCAGATATTTGATGCATTTTCAGCCAGCCACCATATTTTTGTCAGCTTTTCTGCTGTATTAATGTTAGAAATTACTTTTTCAGCTTTTCTTGAAAATATTTTAAAGGAAATTAGTTTCCTTGCTCTATTTATAGCTCATTCACAGAAGTGAGTACAAAAGTTTTTTGGGTCATCAATTTACTAATTTTAATTATGCAAATCAAACAGTTATGTTACTGTATTTAAATCAAGTCTACATAATAAAATTACAGTAACTGGTTTAATAACCACATAAAGCTGTAATAAACTATTTAAATTTCAGGATCCATTTTAATTTTGTGTTTAAGGTAAAATTATTAGAAAGATGTTCTGTTTAGTACTGTGTTAAAAGTGGTTTCCAAAAGTGGGAAAAAGCAACTGCTGTGGAATTTGATCAATAGCATATCCAGAGCTTGAGACTATTAATTCTGCAATATCAGGCTTGAAGTGTGGGAAGTATGTAATTAAATGTAGAGGTCTACATTACAGATGTCTGCATCTCCTCTCCGCTGCCTCTGCAGTCAGTGGAGATCTAGTCAGTGTAGTCAGGAATCTAGGGCATGATTCATCTCACTTTATAGGAGAAATCAAATTAATCAACCCCTAGAAGCATCTGTTTCTTCTCCACTGACTATAAAAGGAGCCTGACTAACTCAGTGGTGGCTGTTGTTTCTGTAGGCATCTAAAATTGGGTGAGATAGATTCCACACGGAGTACGTGGTGCAAAGGACGGAATGTCTGTGATTAATGCCTAATTAGCAGTGGCTTTTTAAGCAGATCTCAAGAAGGTTGCTGTAATGATAAGGCCAGAGAAATTATACCAGGATTAGGAAATCACATGATCTTGATCCACATTTGAAATGTACCTTACTTATTGATCCAAGTGTTAAAATTAACCCTTTTATCTTCTCGGAGGTACCAGTTTGTTTCTATGAGTTTGTGGTGATGACTCTGAAGTCTCTTTTGGAGTCCCTCTTCCCTATGATAGTACCCCATGCTGTAAGACCTGTAGTCTTTGTTTGGAGATGTGACTTCTCATAAAGTTTCCTTCAGTTTAGCAAGCAAGGCAGGTAGTGGTGCGTGCCTGTTTCTGTACTTTATTTACCACTTGTGTAATCCTCATCTCATGGACAAAAATCATCAGCAATGATAGATTCTTTCAGGGCATTGACTTAAAATTGAATAGTAATATGGAATATACAGTGTACCCCGTTAAGACACCATGAGAAACACCTATTAGATCAGTATTCTCCATTTATACTTAAATTCTTAAACTTGTCTATAAGTGGTTTCTTATCCATTTAATGTATCATTATGGTTTCTGTATACTTCTAATTCATTAAAATGTGTATATAATACCGTGTCAAATGTGTTATACGTAAATAAGATTTGCTTTTATCAACTAAATTTGTAATTACATAAAAAAATAGCATATTGCTTTTACTTATGCTGGTTGTTCTGAATTAAGTTTACTTTAGGCTTTTAATTCCGAGTCCTGTAAAATATGGCTTCATTTTTTTTGTTTGGAATCAGTGACACCTGAATGGCCTATAATTGCCCATGTCTTTCTGTTTTATCCTTCAATACAAGCACATCTTCTTCAATAATGAGCTCTCTAACCAGATTTTTGGGTGTACGTTTTCTGAATTTGCTGGTCTAAGAAAGTCTAGCTTTAAGAAATCAGAAATCCTCAGCTGAAATGAATTGCTTTGTCCTTTTCCACACAAGAACTGAAAAATCCGCCATTTCCATTCAGTGAGGAGTCAGTACCATTGATTGGTAAGGTTCCTCTGTATTTCTCATGTTCCTTTTTTTTAATGAAAAATATCAAGAAAACACAATTGTGTCATTCATTTAATGTATTTTTATTCATGTAATATTACAAATAAACCAACTATAAAATTGCAATAGCCTCCCTCATGTTTGTTTGTGGTTTTTTTTTAATTGTAATAAAAATAAAGAGCTCATGCAACTTCTGAAATCCTAACATAGCCAGTTTTGTTTATTGCAGTGTTGGAAAGGATCCTGTTGGGCAAAGAGAGGGTTTGCTCTGTGTTCTGTTCTTAAATCTTTGCAACCTTTTAAAAACCTTATTAACAGATATCTAATATTCATTGCATTCCTTCTCCCAGATTGCCCACATTGCTGTTGAAATGCATGCTGTATTATCTAGAGCATGTCTCATTTTTGCTTTTTTTCTGTCTCTTATCTTTCCTTCTGCTTTTCAGTGTACACGATTCTGTCTAAGGTGCACTCTGATCGGAATGTATACCCTTCTGCTGGAGTTCTTTTTGTTCATGTTTTGGAGAGAGAGTACTTTAAGGGGGAATTTCCTCCTTATCCAAAGCCTGGTATGAGATGCTAAGATCTTCCATATTATATAAAAACAGGGGGGGGGGGGGTCGGGAGTTTAAAAAAATTCAGGTCTATTTAGCATACCTTACAGTTCACTATATAACATACAAAGGACAGTTTTTAGTTCCTGTTGAAATATCTTCAAATGAAATAAAATATGTGGTCCTACAAGTTTAAAATGTTCTGGTTTGTGATCATCATTTGTGAAAAGATGCATATAATTGTGCATTGTGAAAAATGTACTTAATAATTTGGGAAGGCGTAATAACACACTGTGTCTGAGATTAGGAAGTATACCTTTTCTTCACTTTTGCATTAAATATGAAATCGTGGAAGTTTAATAATTACGTCTGTTAAAAATGCCATTTATCTATCTGATCAGTGCTCCAGACTATCAGGCTATATGAAGGAACATTTTGAAAGCATATAGTAAACTTGAGACAAAATAGAAGATTAAATCAGATATGAGACTATGTAATCATGTTTTGTTTCATTTGAAACAAATGCTCCTTTGGATTCAGCCTTCTTCCTGTACTTAGGAGCAGTTTAATGTTAGTAAGCAGTTTGGTTTTGGAGAAAGCTGTGATGTCCTAAGTACGGTGTTTTGATGTACAGCTAAGGCAAACCTAAAGGATCGATCACTGGCAAGTTAGAATATGTATAAGCAAGCTGGGGGAGGGGGGGGGGAAGAGAAAGAGAGAACGTGCTGCCCCACATGCTTATTGACAATGCAAAGGAATAATAAATATATAAATATATCCTATTTATATAAATATAACTGTCCTGTTTTCCTATAAAAATAGGAAAAACACATAATAAATGTACTGCGCACACATAATCAAAACCTCTTTCATTAATAAACTTTTGAATTGATTTGAGAGTACTATTTTCAAAGCTCACGGAAAAAATAAGCTTCTGTTAGCATTGGTTAAATTTTGTCATGAATAAAACCAAATATTCTAAAAAATTCCTTTCCTTGATGGATATTTTTCCTGACATATACCAGAGTCTTCAGTTCATGTAACAGTGACTGGCAGAGTGAGGTTTGCCTCTGTCCCAGTTTTCTCCCGATTTTGGCACATAGATGGAAGGAACCTGGAAATTTTACTAAAGATGGATTGTTTTTCGAATCCTTACAGCCCCAGCCTCTCTTGACATTCATATGATTCAAAGGCAGTATGAATCTGATTTCAGATACTGCTCAAATTGTTGTACCCATAGATGATTGTTATCATACCAGAAATTCACTGTAAGGCCAGATGTTGGCATGGTCCTTTTTTTTTTTTTGGTCTGCTGTGCTGGATCATTAGCATAGCCTACCTTGACAGAGGGCAAACCAGAATGTATCACGGGTGGCTTTCAGATTTTTCCCCAAATCATTTGTGATGCTGGGAATTTTATTATGAATGCAATAGGTGAGATTACTGGGACATCCCGAGAGAATAGCGAGGAAAGTTGTGTTACGCCCTGGTAATGGTTTGGTGTGGGTTTGGTCCCTTTTACCCACATCCAGATGTGTAAATGCGTACCTGAAAATTAGTTACCCTTTGGCAACAGGTCTCAGTCTCTTTATTCCTCTCAGAACAGCTGTCATCTCCATTCTTCACTGGGCTCGGTTTCTGCCTTCTGTGCCAGCCTGCCTGTCGTCGTCTCTTGTCGCTTGCCCTACAATGGCTGCTGTTGCCATTTCAAAGCCAGGTTGGAGGAATGCGGTGCAGAGGGCTCTGTACAGGCTCAGAGCAGATTTGCCCGAGGTCTGTGCCTCAGCTGTAAGGTGCCCATGCCTTAATGGTGCAGATCTGGTAGTGCTTACAAAAGCAAAAATAAACAGAAGTCAGATACGGCCATTTGTAAGAGTATCAGTAAGAACCATGAGAACTGTTGTAGTGGTTTAACTTTAGGGGCTTTTAGAGATTGCAGCTGGACCATAGTATTTGTACCTATCAGTGGATCCATTTTGCTGGAATGTCTGGTCCTTTTTTGAATTAATTTGTTCTCTAAAGAACAACTACTGCCAGGCTGTCGGTGCTGCAGACCTGTATGTATATCCGGATGCTAAGAGAAGCTTTCAGACATTGATGATCACAAGGCCGCTCTTTACAGAAAGGCCGTCTGGGTACATTGGGTCTCCAGAGCCATTATTAAAAAGATAAATAAAAATAAGTGGTTTTGGGAATTAAAGGACTGAGACCTTTGTGCTTTTGTCAGTAAGGAGGTTAGATGCTTCAATTCTAGGTGGAACTCGGGTCTAAAAATCAGACCGACTAGTTAACGAGTGCAAGCACACAGAGTTAGCCAGGACTCTAAGAAGTACAAGCACATTCATCTATGCAGTTGGTTACACTTTTCAGATACAAATTTCTTAATACTTACAAGTGCTGAGTAGGAGTTCACATACTTCTGATATGGTGAAGGTTAGCAATTTATTTTTTTTAAATGCTTAGAAGACAACTGGAAGACCATAAGATTTTCTAATGAAAATATCAAAATCAAAGTGTATAGTATTTTTTTGTAAATACTCTAATACAATTTTTCTTATCTAGGTGAAATAAGTAATGATCCTATAACATTTAATACCAACTTAATGGGTTACCCTGACAGACCTGGATGGCTACGCTATATACAAAGGACACCATATAGTGATGGAGTGCTGTATGGCTCACCAACTGTAGAAAATGTGGGCAAACCAACCATCATTGAGGTATTTTCTTTTAAAGGTTCAAAAAGACTTATTTTGTTATAGAGTATAAGATTCAGAATTGTCAAGAAGCATTGCCTCTTTTTTTTAAAAGTTAATTACAATTAAAAACAAGAAAGATTATAAGGCAGGGACAAGGACTTGTGACATTAACATTTTCTCTTAGTTACCATTGTATCCTCTTTTGAGAGAAAGCCAAATTGTATGACATTTCATATTTTACTTTTAAGGGAGAACTAGTAAGTAGCAATAACCATTTAAGCTTAATATTCCTTGATGAAATACCTTTAGATTCTTGCCATTCATCTTTCTAAGAGGCATTTCATTTCAGTAAACTATGAATATATGAAAGCTGTATTCAGAATATAGGGGGGAAAAAACTTTGTAAACAACTGTACTTGAAGAATATCTGAATTCAGAGATTTGTAGCATTCTACCCTAAATATGGGCCAGACTTCCCCACTGGAAAATACAGTGTTCAGCCAATAAACAGCTTTTGGGTTTGCTTGTTGTTTTTTTAAAATTAAATTATTTTTCATCAACTATTATCTGGTTCATTACTCATGTTTATTGATAGACTTAATTTTAATTAGCACTTACATGTGTTTAATTCTATTCTTGTAAGTGTAACAGTGACAAACCCCACTACTTTATTTATGACAATTAGCTATCCAAATGTTTAAAAGCGCCAATTATTCTTTGAGCAGCAATTGAAAGGGAAGAAGGACTATATTTTCTGCTATGCATATTGTAGCAGACTGAATCAGACACAGTGGTTCACAGTGTTAAGGAAAATCTGCTCATTAACTTGTTCCAGCCATTTTGCTGCTTCAGCAGTATATTTGTCTTAAATCCTTGATGAGTTTCTTTTTTCTAAATTGCATTTGATATAGTTGTTCTTCCTCAAGAATGACATCTCTAAATGTTAAGTTATACTGTAGATAATTTCACCCATGCTTAATTCTATATACATGATTCAGTTTTGATTTCAGCAGGACTAATCACATCTGTAAAATTACATGTGTAGAAGTACTTGCCGACTCCGCTTAGCTTTCTGTAGAGGAAACTGTTATTTAAAATTGCCTTTTTTTTAAAAATGGCATGTGCTTTTAGATTCTTGGATCTATATCAAGACCTCCATTATAAGCTTGACCCCAAACCTATATTTGAACTAAAACTTGCCTAGCATACAAATTAATTCATTGCAATCCCTTCTCAGATGTGGCTTTTAAATTAATTCTGTAGTACGTGAGGAGGGCAGATTGCATTTGACCCGCTTCCTCGTGCCATCTGGGAGCAGTGGTTGCATATTGCCGACCTGAATATAACTTTCATAGTGTTGTAATTCCTTAGATGATGTCATGGATAGGTCAATTAATTGGAGGAGACCTCATGATTAGAAGAGCCTGACTTTTTGCTTAGCACTGCAATAGCGTGGGTAATATTCTTGAGCTCAAGCTCCTTTAAAAGCTGTGCAAAGACAGTTTGTGTTTGAATGAATATTCAGTACAAAGGCAATCTCCACCGCTGTCACTATTACTCGGTACAGGTGCATGTTCCACGCTGGCAACTCTCACTGCTGGAGTGCAGACTCAAAGTGGGTACTGTTGTGTTTCTGTATAGAGCTTGTACAACCAGAGTGTTTGGCTTCCTAAGTGTTCATCTTTAAGCTACTGTTGAAACAACCCTTTGAAAAATTAACAGAATCGAGGATTTGAAAAATCTCAGGAATTTATTTTCTGTTAATTTTATAATGAAGTTGTTACTTTACATAAGATGTAATTCTGTCAGGTAAGCTTTTCCTTCTACACTTAAATGACCCTGCAGAAGATATTGCAGAGCGTTTTTCATTTAAATCCCTTAAAGGAATTGCAACATCTATTACTTTTGTTTGTTTAATAATCAGTGTCACTATGCTTTGTAGCTCTGTTTGCTGAGAAGCAATATAGTTCTGTCATTATTGCCACTCCTCTGCGTCTCATTTGTCCCTGAAATGAATGAACTAAAGTCTAAAATTAGGAAGAAAGTTAGTCTTTTTCAATTTGTTTCATGAAAGATCACCTTTCAGGAACAAAAAAAAGTAGAGAAAATAATACATAATTATACTGATATCCAGCCTCATTCTGTATTTTTTATGAGTGAGCACTTAATCATAATACAACTTCGGAGTACAGTCACCACTGAGGAGTAACCATTTGCAAGCATTTCAAGCATCCCACATACATTTAAACTGTAAGATTGGTATCCTTCTGTAATTTGACCGTGAAGGCATAGGTTTCCAAAAATTAAGAGTCACGAATGTTGCATCTACCTACTAGTTTTCAATTCCCCTACAGTTACAGACTCCAGGATTTTTTAAAAAATTTAAATATCTCCAGGTAGTTTAGGTCCCTAGGAGCTATCAATGAATGTAGATCTTATGGTGGTGGTGGAGGGTGGAAGGGGAAATGGAGAAACCAGTCTTTGCTTATGGCTGTTCTTAAAGATAGCAGAAAAGAAAGAATACATATGTATGGCAGAACACTTTTATCTGGACCAAAATATATTATATTCACATATATCCTTTGGATAATTGTATTTGGCTATAGACTGGTTGAGAAAATTCCAGTATCCTGACTGGAAGGTAATACTGTATCAAATAAATTGATCTTCCCTTTCAAAATTTATATTAATGAATGAATGTTCGTACATTTCAAAATAAGAAGGCAAAGCATTTAAAAGGTGATAAGTATTTCTAAATTATCAATTTAATTTTCATTGATGTTTCATTTACCTGATTTTCATATTTACACTGTTTTGCAATCATATCTTTTTTTTTTTTACTCTAGATCACTGCATATAACAGGCGTACCTTTGAGACAGCAAGGCATAATTTGATCATTAATATAATGTCAGCAGAAGGTATGTACAGAAAATAGCTTGTTGTGTTTTGAACTGAATAAGCAAAAACATCTTATGGGCTCCTGTTCTTTTAAGGTTGTCGTGGTTTAACCCCAGCCAGCAACTAAGCACCACGCAGCCGCTCACTCACTCCCCCCCATCCAGTGGGACGGGGGAGAAAATCAGGAAAAGAAGTAAAACTCGTGGGTTGAGATAAGAACGGTTTAATAGAACAGGAAAGAAGAAACTAATAATGATAGTGATTAACATTAATAAAATTACAACAGTAGTAATAAAAGGATTGGAATGTACAAATGATGCGCAGGGCAATTGCTCACCACCCGCCGACTGACACCCAGCCAGTCCCCGAGCGGCGATTCCCCCCCCCACTTCCCCATTCCTATACTAAATGGGACGTCCCATGGTATGGAATACCCCTTTGGCCAGTTTGGGTCAGGTGCCCTGGCTGTGTCCTGTGCCAACTTCTTGTGCCCCTCCAGCTTTCTCACTGGCTGGGCATGAGAAGCTGAAAAATCCTTGACTTTAGACTAAACATTACTTACTTAGCAACAGCTGAAAACATCAGTGTGTTATCAACATTCTTCGCATACTGAACTCAAAACACAGCACTGTACCAGCTACTAGGAAGACAGTCAACTCTATCCCAGCTGAAACCAGGACAAAGATTAAAAAAATCAATGTAAAATAGTTGTCTGGTGTTCAAGCCAAATGTGGGGACACAAAGAGGAAGTAAGAGAGTTTTCCTTCTTCAGGTTCAATTTGTTATTTTTATCTAAATTATTTCTGTCAGGTAAGACTATTATTCATCATCCATAAAAAAAAAAGGCACATTTGCTTTTTTTAGAATTAATTTCAATTTTTTCCCATCTTTTCAAATGGACCTTACATGATGGATTTTACTCTCTCTCTGCGTGTTTAGTTTGCTTAGTTCTACATGTTCTTTATGCAGAGAACAATCATATAGGCAGATTCAGAAAACAACAGATTATGGCATATATGAACATTTCAATTAAAAAAAATTGAATTTAATGTTTGTGTCCTTAAAATTAGTTTTCTTCACCATATTTATATATTTATAGTTTGGAGTATTGCAGGTTGGAGTCCATTGTCACTGCAGATCAATTTTGACCCCAAAATTAGCATGAATGTAATTTTGTCTGTTTAATGAAGATTTACCAGCTGAGCCTCTTTTCCTCTAGTCTGCTCCTTCATCTCCCAGTTGCTTTATAAATGGCCAGTGGTTTTCAGCTTAAGTAACAGCCAATAGCACTAACTATTTAATTAAACGTAATCACATTAGCTTCAAAATAACTAGTTCAAATAAAAGTTTTTTGGAAAGGTGTATCAATCTTAAAGTGGTATTACGTTAATCATTACTTCAAATTCTTTGTTATGGAGCCTTTATTTAAGGCAAAACTCTTCCTTTTTCATCACAACTAGATTTTCCTTTACCATATCAAGCGGAGTTCTTCATAAGGAATATGAATGTAGAAGAAATGTTAGCAAGTGAAGTTCTTGGCGACTTTCTCGGAGCAGTGAAAAACGTGTGGCAGCCAGAACGTTTGAATGCTATAAACATTACTTCAGCCCTTGACAGGGGAGGGAGAGTTCCACTTCCTATTAATGACATGAAAGAGGGGTAAGCACATGTGTCAGTCTAATGTTTTTGCTTTACTGTTTTTTTTTCTTGCTGAAAAGCTTAATATTTTTTCAGGTCTTCTAGAAACTTTGCAATTGCTGTTTTATATTTTAGAAATCCAGATTGGTGTTAGATATGAAAAGTTTACTGATGTTCTGAACCCCCATTATACCATGGGTTTATCATGTTAGATACCATTTCAACAGGTGACAGTTCCTATATATTGATTTTACGATCCAAGGAATACTAATAAATTCCATTAATTAGAAAACAGTTGGTAGTAAATATGCTTATTTTGTAATTACAGTCGTTACTTCTGAGCAGCTGTTTGGCATTGAGTATTCAATAGTTCCCAATTCACAAAACTCAAAATTTTGAAACAAAGTATGACAGAGCATAGGTTACAAAGACACTTAGATTTCTAAGACCATTTAGCATGTAACAGTGTCATTTGTAGCTGTACTCAGTGAAATTTAGTTATGTGCTTTCATCTGAAAGTGATAAGCTGAGGTATCTGGGGAACTTAGGTTTCTGAGTGTAAACCGCAGGAATGCACTTTTTCCAGTTGTGATTCGTAACCATAAATTCTGTTCTGAAATATGATACTTCAATTAGAAACTAATAAGGATTCAGTCTTTTAAAAATATGGTTGTGGTATTGCTTTTCCCTGGCAAAAATAAAGATGCCTAGTTATTTTTAGATATTTTGTGTCAAATAATATCTAAAAAAGGGCTGAGGGTTCAAAATCTGAGATGTATGCAGAAAAGATTGTTGTTTCAGGCCCTTTGGTGGGACTGGAGTTTCTGACCAGGGAGTAAAAACACAATCTAAAGAAGGAAAGTGACTTCTGTACTAGCCAGAGTAATAGCAGAGCCACTTAATACTAGCGGCTTAATTTAAAACAGTTAGCTAGATAATGCCTAATATACCAAATGGTGACCAGGACCTAATTTCTGTTTCAGGATTCTTTGATACATTATTACCTGGTGCAGTAGACTGTATTTTCCAGCAGCATTCTACATGTTTAAATATGAAAATGAATAATACAATTAGCGCAGTAGCTCTTCTTTTATGTACTGTAATGCTAAATGAAGTATTAAGTTTACATTCAGCTTTCAGTATTCTGCAAATTTTGGTGGCAGTGCATAGCTACAGTATGGAATCTTTTAGGAGAAGGTGGGTGCTTTGGCAGGTTCATATTAGTATTAGGTTTAGAAACAAGTAGTCCTCATGAATTTTATTTGAAAACATGGGAAGAAACTCTTCAAAAATACTATGCTGAGCACGACTGAAGATTTCCTTAAGATAAAATTATACTATTTTAATGCAACTTTCAAAAGTAGTACTGATTTACTTACATGAGGAACCTACACTTGGAGCTCTGTGACTTCATAGGAATTGACAACTCTGACGGTAAGCAAACATTTACATTATGCAGCAAAACAGAGCAAGTTGTAATAAGTAGCTAGAAAAATCCTTTTAATTTCAGTCTGTTATTCATATGCTTAGATAAAGTATATTATCAAATAAATAATAAAAAAACGTTTTTAGTCTTTAAAGCACAGCTGAATGTTACCATGAACAATAATAATGTTTGGAAGAGTATGTCATTGTCCTTTGGGGATTTGTGAGAGGTATCCTGACAGTCTGTCACTCATCTCTTTCTGCAGTGTGTATGTTATGGTTGGGGCAGACGTTCCATTCTCTTCGTGCTTACGAGAAGTGGAAAACCCACAAAATCAGCTGAGATGCAGTCAAGAAATGGAGCCTGTAATAACCTGTGACAAAAAGTTTCGTACTCAATTCCATATTGACTGGTGTAAAATCTCTCTGGTGAGTTATTTTATTATCACGTAAAAAAGATGTTTGTAGAAGTACAATATTTTGTGCCAGACATGATTGAGGTAAGAGTTTTGCCAGCCTGGCCAGACAGCTCTGCCAAATTCCACTTATCATAACTGATTGACATTGTTTTCCATCTAGCACACACTCTTAAGATTCTGAAAGGATTTTGCTCTGTAGGCTAAATTCTATTAGAGTTGAGCACCAGCAAAACCACCATCTTTGTTTTCACTAGCGGTGATTTATATAAATGGCCAGAGAACTCTAGGGCTTACAGAACTAAAAGTAATGAGAGGATTATTTAGGTAGGTGTAGTTCAGTAATTCTGTGTGCTAATACTGCTAGTTATACTTGCTTTCCTAAAAAGTGTGTGTCTATATATATATATATGTGTTTTCTCAAATGCTGAGTCTACAGCACTGACCAGTTAAATAGTATTTCTGTGGTGTTAAAAAAAATATTTCTGAAAACTGTCTAAACCATATTTCATGTTAAAAACAAAATAGAAAAAGAGAAGAAAATGTGTTGACTTATGTAATCAGAATAAATGGGAACATTCTTCTCGGTCAAATACAAGGAAAATGATAACCAAACATAATTCCCAAAGAGGCTTTTTAAGGTTATTTTTGTTTAGTTCTGGTAAGGAAAATCAAGAAATGATACAATATTGGAAGAGAACGTTGCAGATAAGTTTGAACAAAGATGGTGAAGGTACATAAAATAAACTTAGATGATTGTTGAGCTACTTCAGACATTACCCAAAAGGAGACTGAAAGGGAGATATGAAAGTCTTTTGTACAATGTAAAAAATGTATTGACTATGAGAAAAACTCACACACAAAGTGGATTAGGTAACTTCCAACCCTTTCTTTCTATACTCTATAAATTAGGAAAGCTGTTAGAAAGTTGTAAAATACTTGTTTTCAAAAGAATATCCAGATTATTTACTTTTTGTTGGCTTTCTGTTGACAATTGCAGAAGGTACATTTGTACACAGCAATACTTACCAGCACCTGAAAAATAGTAGAAGTCAGTCAGCCTTTGTCAAGAGCAAACTGTGTTGAGTCTTTGATTTCCTTCTACAAGAAAGAACAGAGGTGCAGCAGCAGTTGTAATTTCTTTTTGGTAAGGTTTTTTATACTGTCTCATAAGCAAGGTCAGGAACGTGGCCTAGATGAAGCTAGGACCTAGCGGAGAGCTGGCTGGATAGCCATAATCATAGCAGAATTATTAATAATTCATTGCCATGCTTCAGTAATAAGCTGGATGATGGAATGTGCTTATTAAATTAAATCTGCAGTCCCCATGAAACTGAAAGGATCTGCAGGTGCATTGAAGGACAGGATAGAATTCAGAAAGGTCTTGAGAAACTGGAGAAACAGCCTTAGAAAACAGGGTGAATTTCAACAGGAGCAGCAGAGGAGTAGTGCACTAATGCAAGAATAATCAACATTGCTCACGCAGACTGAAGAGCAGCTGGTTAGGAGAGCTCCTCCAGAAAAAAACGTCTGATAGTAACAGTGGCTCATAAACTTATCATGGAGCAGTGGTGTTGTGCTGTTTTGAGAAAAGCAGAGATTGTGTTAACAGGAACAGGCTCTCAAAGAGAAGCATAATTTTCTATAGCAGCATATCACCCAACCTTCTTGAACTTGGCACTTGTTTTGGCAGCATGCCGTGATAACTGAATTTAATCAGTCTTAGGGGGGTTTACTGTTGCCAACAGCATTGCTGCTGCATGCTGTAACCTGGTGGATCAACAGGAAAACAGAGCCAAGCTTCCCTCCATCTAATCACAAGGCAAGCCAAGGAGCAGGAAGCCCCCCAAGATCCATGGGCTGGGAGGGAGTTGAGTTTCGTACCCCATAACCACAACAGAGACCAGTGAGTGAAAATACAACCATCATATCCTCTTCTTCCCACTTTTTATGAGGTAACGTTGGCGGTTAACACCTAAATCAAACAGTAGATTTAAGCTTGTGCGTCCCAAATACTGAAAAGAGGGGCAACTTAATACATGCTTCCTCTTAACAAAGCTTTCTGATAGCTTGTTCTCACACCGTGTATGGGCTTCTGTCAGTCACATCAGTAGCTGCGTACATCTTTTTTGTGTGTCTGCTTAGGGCTTGAGATTCAGTTAAGCAGCCAGGTAGAATTCATAACACAAAATATACTGCAGAATTTAATGAGTGAAGAATACATAAATTCATTTTTGTCAAACTGTCTTGCACTTAAAATATATATATATACACACATGTGTATGCGCTTGAAGCTCAACATAACATTATTTCTAGCATTCCATTAAAACCTGTTCATCCATTGCTTAAGTTTTGAAACAGCATTTTATGACTTGAAGTGTAAATTATAAAGAAATGACCATCAGTTGCAAGATTTCTCAGTGAACAGTCAGGCAAACGGTCAAGCATGTAGGCAAATGTAATTTATTTTCATTAATGATCTGGAGAGAGTTTTAAAGCTAACACTAAATTTAACAGTAATATCTAACTGAAGATAACAAGAAAATAGAGGCAGAAAATTGAAAAGTCATGTGGGAAGGGCAGTCAATTAAATGCAATAGGAAATTCAGTAGCAAAAAAAAGGTTGTATTTCTAGGAACATTAGATATAGACATAAAAAAAAAAAAAAGAAAGAAAAGATTACTTGTGACCCGGAATGCAGCCTTCTGGAGGTTAGTTGAATAGGAGGGAGAAAAACCTTGGAACTCTGGCTCTGAACAACTAATGCACATCTCATGTTGGGGTACATCCTGCATTGGGTGCAGGGGGGCGGGGGGAGGCAATAGAGCTGCTTAGTCCTCAGCAGCTCCATTCATGCCTCTTGTGTTTTTTGAGCACCGGACGCGAAGCTCAATAGGAAGGGGGAAGAAAATCCATAGGTACTCCACTCTTCATCTTTACCACCTTCATACAAGAGAGGGCAGTATTGTTATTCAGGAAGACTAGTAAGAAACGGATTAATTCATCAGAAAGAAATCAGTATCAAATAATTAGTTTGCAATAAAAATGTTTACTGAATTTTTACTCAAATATTATTTGTGTGAGATATCCTAAAATTAATCTGTAAAAAACATAGTATCTCTGGTAGGCACAAAATAAAGTGATAATGTGATAAGTAATAAAGTGATATTACTTATCACACTGATCAGAAGCTTTCAACGAAATGTAAGGTTTTATTGGTTAAAAAGAAGTGATTGGATGAAATTGTATAGAATTTGTCAAATGTGTAATATGGATTCTTTTATATGTTAAGGCTGGTTAAATACTGCCTGTTTTTACAATTACTTTGTTATATAATTGTCTTTTTTTTTCTTCTTTTTTTTTTTTTCTGGGTATCAGGTTGACAATACAAAACAAGTTTCCACCTTTCAGGAAGTGATTCGTGGAGAGGGGATATTACCTGATGGTGGAGAATACAAGCCACCTTCTGATACACTCAAAAGCAGAGACTATTACTCGGATTTCCTAATTACACTGGCAGTGCCCTCGGCAATAGCACTGGTGCTTTTTCTAATACTTGCCTATATCATGTGCTGCCGACGGGAAGGAGTGTGAGTACTTTAACACACTAATAAGTAATTGTAGATTTTTCTAAGATATAATGCATAGAAGACTATTTGTTAGAAGAATTCCATTCAGTTCATTAAAAACATTTAAAACAGGCCAAAAGGTATCTGCTTGAAATACTGAACTGTTTCTCATCTAAGCACATACAGTAATTTCTAAGAGAATGGATGTAGGGTCTTTAATTGTTCTAGTTGAAAGGGTTAAAAATCTCAACATATGCACAAAACTCCACAAAATCTCCACATACGCACAACTCTCCAAAATGCCCCAAACAAATAAAATACTAATAAAGGAGATTCAGGAGAATATTAAGTAATTTCTAAAACACTAACTTTTGTAAAATAAGTCTGCTTGAGGATATGAACTGAATTTAGACATATTATAAAAGAAAAACACATAAAAGGAAAGCAGCAAGTAACGTAATTTCTGCCATTTCTTACACAAACTACAATTTCATTTTGTCACAGAATTTATTTTAGCCAGAAGCTTGTTCTTTAACTTGCATTTTCATTTCTCTGTGTGTGTGTCTGTGTGTGTGTCTGTCATCAGTTTCACATCTCTATACGTGCGTTCACTGAGGCCTCACCATAAACCCAGTTGCAAATGCTGCCAAGTTGCGTTTAGCAATAACCTTGTCAGCATTTCTACATCACGTACTATTTTCATCATCAGATAGATTTAATGTTCCAACTATCAATGCTATTATTTAATTCATAAATTTTGTTTTGTTTTTAGGGAAAAGAGAAACATGCAAACACCAGAGTAAGTGTCTTCTTTCCTGTTATTTTTCTTTTACCATTTAATTTTCATTCTCAGTAGCTTGTCATGCTTCATACATGTGTGTCATAATCTTCTTTCATTCTCTCTAATCCATGGTTTAATTCATAAATGTGAAAGCTGCTTTTAAATCTTGGCAAGGATAGAAGACCAGAATAAAAAGGGTTTGAAATTAACGACTGTCAATTCAAAATAAAATAGTGCTGTTAGAATAAATATGTTAATATGTAATTTATACTCCTGGTTATTGGACTTCCCGGCCTATATCTTAAAGGCAGTGGACAGGAGAACAAATATCCTGGAAGGTATCCAGTGCCTATACTATGGAGTGTTCTAAAATTAATCTATGAGTTTTTGTGAATCTACCACAAGAATCAGGAGTTAACCCAAACTTTTATTTTAACTGCAGCAAATAAATGGAACATTAGCAGTAAACTGCAGAGTCTTGGATCCTATGAAAAATACTTATCCAGACAGCAAAATCTAATGGAATAATTACTGCCTTAAAAAATTAAATAAATCCAATATTTATTAAATTAACTATGTAAAGGTTTATTGTAATTGCTGCACTCTAGAGTCTGTAGCATGCATCAAAGGCCTTGTATATTTAAGAAACATTGTAAATTGTAAAAGTCTGTCCATTTTGACAGAGCATTTAAAATATGTATTTACTATTTTATTTCCTCTTGACATAGCATCCAGTTGGTGCACCACAGTGCTATACAGAAATCAACCAAAGAGCTTCGTGACATGTCTAAAAATAGAGAGATAGCATGGCCTCTTTCAACGCTTCCTGTGTTTCACCCAGTCACTGGTGAGATTGTACCGCCCCTTCATACCGACAGCTACGATAATACCAGTATGCCACTGATGCAAACACAGCAGTAAGTATTTAGATTTTATTTTTTAACACTCGTTATGTTGCACAATTTAACTATGGATTCCAGTGCTTGTCATCTGAAATGTGTTTATTATGGAGGTATCAGTAATGACTGTGTAGTTCAAGATTGCTCTGATGTTTGCATTTCAAGCAGAAAGGCAGGCTTTCCGTTATAAAATTAAATGGCTGGGTTTCAGTCTGCAGACTTGGCAAGAAGCTTTGTGTGGAAGTTAAATTTCTGCATATTTTGGAGAAAAACTACTTTTGACGGAGGAATCATTTAAAACTGTTCTATTTTGGACACCCTGCCTCGTAACCCATGTCTTTGGAGTTCGGTATAAAACTACCACTGGGTTGGTGGTATTTTCATACCAGAAAAATCCAGACTTTGTAAGTAGTTAGTCATGTACCTGTCACACGTGGTTTATGTTTGAAATGTTAACATTGAACAGAAGAGCATATTCCATTACACAGATAATAAATATAGACTTGCCAAGGAAAATGCTCAGAGCTCTCAGCCGTTTACATTGTTGTCAGCCTCTCTCCAAGACAGAAACCAGAAAAATATTCATTTCTATTCCTTAAAGTTCATTTATCAGTAACTTAATGAAACTATCAAGACAGACCCATCGAGTGCTTTGCACATGTTCTAATTCAGACGAGTCGGTAGCGCTGTAGGAAAAAGGCATTTCTAGAAAGATTTGGTTGACATGTCTGGAGTTGAGCAGATCTGAGGCAGTGGTCCCTGAAGCGGCTGGCGTTGTTTTTCAGGGCTGTGTTATGACACTAGCTCCAGTCGGTAGCTCCTCAGCTGGCAGGCCTGCATGGCCCCAATGATACTGGTCCAGTGCCAGCACTAACTTGGCCCTAATTTACAGATGCTTGCCTTGAATGCCCTTTATAATGTAGGTACGTGCTAGAAGAGTGTTTTCCTCTCCCTGTCCCAAAGCTAAATTCTCCAGAAAGTACAGCTATATAAATTATCCCTTGTACAACTACTGCAAAGTGCTCTACCCTGTCTTTAACAGTTTCTCCTCTATTCAGAATAGCAATTTTTTATGACTGGGATGCCAAAGCCTGTGCCAAAGGCTTTCTTGAGCTGTACATTGAGTATTTATCCACTTCACCTACATTCCAACCCCTAATTCCTTTCTGTAAAAACAACCTTAATATCTGGTAGGTGTTAAAATACACACTTAAGCAGGACACAAAAATGTGACTTTGCCTTGGTAAGTGAACTGATCCGATATGTAGAACTAGCTGACTGTTCATTCATTCCACAGTCAATAATTAACTTGCAAATACTGTCACCTTTTCTGTATTCATCACTTATGGAAACCAAACTTTGCATAACATCAGGAACCTGCGGTGACTCTTGTTACCTCTGGCGTTTCACCAAGCCCTGAGCCTTTGAACCTAGTTGACAAGTGAAATAATAGGAACTACCCCTTAGCACTAATTTCCTTTCTTTCATTGACTTGGCTAACCTTTTGACAACTGTATATGCATAGTTAAAATGGATTATTGCTTCATAAGCAAAAAAAAGAAGTTTAAATACTGAACTTTCATGCATACTATACTTCAGACTTTGTAGGAAGCATTAAAGATATTAAATTGTTTTTTGTAGGAACCTGCCACATCAGACTCAGATTCCACAGCAGCAGAGTGCAGGTCAGTACTGAGAGAATACTCTAAGTGACTGGTGCGGAGGAATCACTAGTCAAAATGTATACGGTCTATGGACAGTGGAAACCATTTTGAAATATAGTACAGTATTACAGCATTGTCATTCCAGATATTTTTGATACACCAGTGAAAATTTTGGGATGGGACTGATTGAACAAGTAGGAGAAATGCTACATTAAGATTCAGCATGAGGCACTGGAATCTGGTACAGCTAAGTTAGAAACCTCCTCATATAAATAATTTTCTATTACAACATGAAGCTACAGCCAGATTCCCAAATACAGTTACACTGTTCAAATTCTCTAAAACTTGACTGGAAATCAAAATTTCTAATTCTCACCAATACTAGTTAAGCTCTGAAGAAGGAGCTCCTTATTGCTGTTACTAAACATAAAGAGTTGATAGTGGGGAATCTGTGGTTAGGCACATATCCATGCTGCATGTTTCCCATGTCTTAGTCACCACTTTTGCATAATTTTCACAAATCCTAGTGTACTGACGGAGGTTGTGAATGATCCCATCAGAGTATCAACTAAGGCTGACTGTTCTCTCTAGTTAGTGTATCAGGTACGAGAAAAAGCTACAGCTGTAGCCATGTGAAAGGGAATGAGGATCATACAAGGAAAATGTAGAGGCTAAAATATAATTTTTGAATATTCAGAGAGGTATTTAGGCAAAACTCTAGAGATATGTATATATTGAACGTAACAAGGGAACTACAGCTCTGAGAGGAAGATTTGTTTTACCTTAGGAGTTACATAAGCAACTCTTTCTTTTCATTCAAAATCCTTCTTCTTCATTACTGCTTTCGGGGATTAAAGGAGAATATCGTATGACAACATTTCAAAGATTTGAGGCAAGTATATAATAGATGCTTCTGCCCATGTGGTTTTTTGTTATCTGGAAATTAAAAACACATTTATAAAAAAACCCAACCTGACTGCAGTTCTGCTAGCTTTGCTATTTGTGTGCTTTATTATACATACACTGGAAATGGTGGATGACCCTGGCAGTCAAAAGCCTCCAGCACTGGTTTGGGTTGACATTTAGTATAGCTCTTATCACTCACTACTGCCGGCATTTAGAAGGCAGAATAAAAATGTCACACGGTTCAGCTCTTCTGTTATGACTGTTTTGTTACAAGAATTCCAGTCTGTCTTGCAGTAAAAAAGATGCAAAATCACCTGGTAGTACTGTATGTTGACAGCAGTGAGAAATTTTCAAAAAGGTATGAAATACAAGCTAGCATGGGTTTGTCGCCTACCAGTCGCGCTGAAGAACTGCCATAAAAATAGATCTTAAAAATTCTCTTGTGTCTGTATTTTCTGTAGTACATCATTTTGGTAGAATACATCTGTTCTTTCATATTCATCGCAGATGCTGCCTGTGACAAGCTCTTGGAAACTGGGGCAGGGGGAAATGTATTTGGGACAGACGATGTTTCCTCTTCTTCTCTTAGTTTACAATTACACCTTCCTTCCTAACTCAGATGTGCAGATGACACTGCAAGCACTTCCATGACATGATGGCACGTGCCTCTTGGAGTTTATCTTCTAAAGGATATCTATGACTTGTGTTGTCAGTAGGTTAGATTTTTAGAAAGTTACAAAATTCAGGCACTCCTAAGATTTTTTTAGTAGCATCAGTACAAACTTAGTAATCAATTTTATTGATCTGTTCAAATAAGAAATTTACAATACTAAACCACTTAAGGCCAAAAAGCCTATAGAACTAGACAGTCATTGTTTAATTTTCTTCCTTTCCTACAGAAAATTCCCAATAATATACTCAGGATTATTAACATACTATCACTCACCACCATGAATAAGAAGATACTTCTATTTTAAAGCTTCAGTAGACCATACTTAGTAATTTGAAGAGCAGACCACGTCTAATAACCACTATCCTCTTCAGGAACTGTCTGCATCCCCAATAAGAAACAATTTTTTTTTAACCTTATATAATAATGCAGACTTATAGCTGACATAATGCTCGACTATTTCACAAAGTTAAAAAATAATTGGGAAAGAATTGTCTGAAAGGTCAGAACTCCCATCTAACGTTTATATTACACTGCTGAAAGTTGCTACTGGTCTTCAATATGAAAAGGTATATTAAGTTTTATAATTGTCTGTGTGAATTGGCAAAATTTATGAGGACTGTTTTAAGGTGCTTAGATGAAAAAGTTTATAGGATATTCCTATAATGCAAAAGCCTAGTGCATGTACCCTGCATACTGCATTTTCCATTTTGAGCTTCACAGTCTCCCTATGAAGTCTGTTAGATCCCAAATAGAAAGATAAGTTCCCAGTTAAACAATCTTCTCCCAGATCTCTTCCTTCCCAGAAGAAAGCAAGCAAAGGTTTTTCATGTGTATGTTGTCTTTTGGTCCAGGTTGTACTTGCAGTGTTTCTCCAATGTGGTTGTTGATAAAGGACTAATAAGTACTATTTATGTTACCAATTGACAGTTCAATATTGTTGAAGCATCATCTGCCACTGATGGATTATATAAATTCTCATCTATTTGCAGGTAAATGGTATTCCTGAGGAAAGAAAACTAACAGAAGCAATGAATTTGTAATCAGAGAAGGCAGCAAATTGTCTTATTTCCTTATTTGTTCTGATTGATGCATGAGTTTTTCTGGTGTATATTGTGCATGCCCACAGTATTAAGATGATCTCGGTGCCAGAGAGTACAATCACTTCCATATAACTAATGTACTGTATGCTTTTGTACTTTGGACATTTTTGACAATTTGTAAACACTGATAACTTTTTATATTTGTTACATTCAGAAAATAATCTTTCAAATATATGTATTAATAAATATATCTTTATTCTGTGTTGTGATCTCTCCTGAAAGTTTTAACAGGGAAATCAAAACTTCAAAATAAACACCAGGTTCAAAGGATTTCAGACTCTCTTCAATGGGATGATATAAATGCCTTACATTTGCACAAAAAAAGCAGTAGTGTATAAGCATGAAAACTTGTGCAATATGAGGCTCAGAAATAGTATTCCAGATGTACTAGGCATTAATTTTGTAGAGATTATCAAAATATAATGAGCAAAGTTATTTTTGAAAATAACAAACAAAAAACTAAAACTGTTCCTGTTGAAAATTGGATTTCTGTTCCTTTACCAGATATTTAACCTATTTAACAACTTATAAGCAATAAAACATTTAAAATCTGTCCATTCATTTATCTGGTTATGTTGGAAGAAACTGTTACAAACTCCTGTAGGCAGAAATTAATGTCTGCAAGTAAACAAGGGTAAACTTTGTTACAGTATACATGGACTAACTTTTAACTCTCGAAAAATTTTTTTTGTTAATATTCCTGATGCCCCGATGCAGTTTATTTTTTATATCCTCCACATTCTTTGTCCTATTCAGAGCAAAAAGAGTTCTGGGAGAACTAGCTACCCAATAAACCAAGGATTATTTTTTAGCATCTTAAAAAGGAGTTGATTAAATACATACTTTCCTGGGAGGTGGCTACTTTGAGAGGCATTTGTCTACACAGCAGAAAGCTTAATAATACGAAGTTTGTTAAAAGGAAATGAACTGAGGTTTCCTTATTTTTTCAATAGATGGCGACAGTTTATCTCCTGACATTGTTTTGCACATTTTAAATGAATTTTTCTGATGCTTCTTTAAATCCTCAAATAGAGCATAATGCAGGACTTCAGGGTCTCCAGCTGTAACAGCTCACACCAACAGTTCTTGGGGTTTTACCTCAAAGCATCATACTGTTTTAAGCTGACACTTATACTTTGTCTTTTTTCTGTAATATTTTCTCTTTCAGAAGCTGTATGTTCATCAGGACATTGCACTGTAAGCAGAAAGCTGCATCTGCTTTAAAATTGCTAAATGCTGGCTACATTTCCTTAGCTGAGGTTTCTGCTAAGAGAAATTGAGTAATTTAGGAATTTAAGACTGAGGCTAAAAAAGAAACTGTAAAATAAGGTTATTAGAGTTTGTAGAAAGACCAAAGTAGTCACTGGCCTTTTTTTTTCTTTCTTTTTTTCTTTTTACAGTTATGACCCTGTTCCTTCAAAACACAAAAACATATTTTGTTTGCTTAAAAATGAACATAATAATGATGTGCTTATAGGCTTGGACCTGAAGGCAACCCTTTGGCAGATAACTAAAACAAGTCTTGAGCTGCTTTTTAGGTACATTTTGTGCAACAAGTATGATAACTATTGCAGCAAAATATATAATCAGTGCTCAGTACATTGTACATACATACGTATATATTGTCAAGCCTTGAACGTGAGATTTTGCAAGGCTACCCTAAATCCTAAGCACAATCCACAGAATATGTTAACAAATGCATCGAGCCATAGGAATAGTGCCAGTGGTTACTATCCTACGAGAAGTAGCTCAAGCTACGGTCATTAAGTTGAAAAACTAAGTCAGTTTCTGAAACAGTTGGGATAAAGAAAGAGCCATTCCTACTTACTGTCAAGGTGGCACGCATCACACCTACCTCATCCAAAAGGTACCAAGGAGGAGCTTTCATCAGTCAGCCAGCCTCCTGAGAGACCCCTCCTTTTTTCCAGCAGCTTGGATGCTTATCGGTGAAAAGTGAATTAGAAGACTGCAGACTGACATTTATAGTAAATTAAAAATTTACCTCTCTTATCCAAGCTGTGAAAAATTTGAGTACAATCAGCATTTGGTTTCTACTACTATTTTCAAATGTATGAGCTGTCAGTGCTTTGAAACAGAAATGAATGGAATGGATTTTAAATAATGATTTTTAATGCAACATAAGACTAAACTTTGTAAATAGTATTGGGTTTGGATCATAACAATTTCTGATAACTTGAGGGTGACATGACAATCAATTAAATACCAGCTGAGCTGCTCCCTTCTTGTTTGTATTAATATGTAACAGTGCTAGTATCTTTAAGGAAATTTCTTAAACTGTTATATAAGTGCACAAAGAATCAGTTTGTACCAGTGAGTGCTCCACCTATTCTGAAAAGAATCTAATGATGTAGGTGGCTTGGGTATTAAGCACACCTGAACTATTTTATGATTGAAAGCTTCATTCATTTGAGGTAAGTTTAATAACAAATTATTTATTTTTACTTACTAAATAATTACTGTGGAAGCATAGATTTATAAAGCTGGCTAAAAAGACACTTATGGCTAAAGAACTAGTAATAGTTAAAAGCGCTGATAGTTAAAACAGTAAGTTCACAGCCTCTTTTAATGATGTACAATGACAGTATCAATTGATATTGTATTGATTAAGTGACAGTTGCAACCAAATTAAATACAAAGCACTACAGATGTCTGTAAATATATGTAAAATGTAATAAATAGGAAAACATTAAGTAGTGATGTTGCTGCCTGGTTATTTTACATAATGATGCCTGAACAACTTTGTGTTATAGTTGTTAACATTATGGACACTGATACTGGAGGGTGTCTTAGGAACAGAAGTGGAGCCGATTGTGCAGGGTTTCTGTTTAACTGGGGGAGATGCCTAAAGCGGTGTTGTAACTGGAAGGGATGGAGAGTATTTGCACCACAATGCAATTTACCGCAGAAGAATCTTTCTTCCTGCATTGCATCTGAAATAATCTCTGGTACAAGTGAATATCTGCCCTTCATTTGAAATAATAGTATCCAGAATATCACTCTGGAGAAACTGCAATACTAATCTGTAATTTAAGGTAGGCATAATAGTGAACTGTAGCCCAGCTAGAGTCAAGCAATAAAAAGTTTTTACTTAATTGATGCTGCTCCCATTACAAAAATAAGCATCCACAGCACATTTATTTAATGTTTAAGTTACTTCATATTTTTACATAACCTGAAAATAAAATATATTTATCCCACATACAGTAACAGTAAACAAGTGCATTATTTCAAACATTAAAAATAAATCTTTTAACCAAGTCTGTACAACAGATAAATAAAATTATATCTACAATACTTAAGTTGTGAAGAACAAAATAAAAATTATCCCTCAAACTCACAGTTCACCATTGCTCCTAATACTGGCATAGATGAAGGTTATGCATCCTATCCCCCATGACAGTGTTCACCTATACCATTTCTTTCAGCCATTCAAATGTACTGATCAAGGACGTTAACTTTCCAAACATTGGAAGTAATGCACACAAAGAACAAATAGCTGAGTATCTTTCCAATAGCTTCAAAATAGCTGGCAGACTTAGTAAAACTGCTGAATTTGGGGGAAGTGAATGATTTTTCTTTTTTATGATGAATGACTGGTCGTTCTTTAAAAGAAACTGTTCTCCACCAAAAAAAAAAAAAAAGCCATTCTTTTCACACTTATTTTTTTGCACTTATTGGTGGCTTCAAATTTGAATTCAGTTTTTTAACTGGGATAAGATCAAAAACATGTACACAACAGTACATACAGTACAGATTAGGATTCATATTGTTTATAATCATACATAATTGCACATATGCTTGGAAAACAATCCTGTGCTCATGTTTTTGACTGCTAATAAGTAATCAGTAGAAGAGTAAAATGAAGAAGCAACTAGAGGTCAAACTATCACTTGAACTAAAACCACAAACAGCAAAGAAATGACTGTAACTTCACTGAGTAAGTGGAACATAAATTACAGCTTGTCACTGCCACGCTGAAGGGCTATTTCTTTCAATTTTACTTTTTATGCTGAAGGAAAGAGTTAATAAGAAAGATGGGAACTGCTAAAAAGGATGGGGAAAAAAGGTTCCTCCAAATGGCTCCAATCTCATTCCATTTGTAATTCTGAGATTCAACCACATGCATGCAACAAGATGACTACTAAATTCTTCCTCCTCATGATATCAGCAGATTGACATGCATCCTTTTAAATGAAAATATTATTACAGGATAGAATATGGCACCAGTTCCCTAATGAGACCTAGTTCAAAGTTCCCTACAAATTCAGAGAGGTTTGAAGATCACCATTCCCCTGTTCTCCCATTTCCTTAAGATCTGACAGAGTGGATATGATGGGATTTCATCTCACTGGAAAATGTTAGAGGTCTTCCAAAAATTCTCCATCCTGAACTAAGTGTCTGAAAATTATTCATCTGTTTGTTCACTGGGATTGTACAGAGAACTGCACATAGTTAAATAAATTAGTAGATAATTTATGAAAAAAATGCACACAATTTTAGGGAGAAAAAAATCAGATTTTCTTTATAAAAAAATTTCACCTCAGAATTCACCATATTTGCTGAAAACATCTTAAATTTCTAAAAAAATCCCATAAAATATTATGTAAACTTGTATATATTCTTAAATCACTGAATTGGTGATGACTTTTTATTTCCACGTATAAAGGGTTTCATATAATGTATACTATCTCCACCCAAAATACTCCTTTCTAAACAAAAAATTACCATTTTGTTCAGAAGAACGCCCTGGTTTACCAGTAACTTCATGTTTCACATCAGCTAAAGGTGAGCATTAACGAAGGATCACAAGTTTGCTCTTTTTTGTTCCTTGATGAGAATGATTACAGAATGTGTTATGTATAGGTGGTACTCTAGTAACATCCACTCTTCATTCAACTGACACAAGATAAAGATAATTC